GGGTGTTTACGCAGTTGGCTAGAGCAGTGCTGATTGGGGAGAACGGAGGTGCGCTCACTCTATTGGTTAGTAAGGCTGGCAGTCATGCATATGCTCTGCGATTTTGATTCGATTTCGATTAATCGCACAGCCCTAGTGGCGGGCAGCCACAAATAAATCAATGTATGGGAAACACTGATCTAAATACTAAAAATTCAAATGAAACTTACCTGCTTGAACTCTTGCATTTGATCTGAGTGTCTTTAAAGTGTTTTGTTAGTTTGGTGTGTTTCCTCGTTTTGATGTCGCCACGACTTTTTTATGAAGAGAGCGCATCTGCGCACCTTTCGGATGGCGCTATGAAATATGAGATATTCTTATGAAACTGTTGCAAAGTTATTACTCCCATTATTACACTTCTTTTTCATTATGGTTTGCCCCAAGAACACGTTAATATGCAAATTAGATAGTATAGAATGGGAATACCAATTTATGGACATTTTACGCACATATTCCATAAAGTACAGTAGTATATCAAATCATTCTGTTATGATTTTCATAACATAGTTGAGAATCATCTTTGTACAAAGTTTAGCTTAAAAATAGCCTGAAACCTAAAAACTGATTAGTGAATGGAAAAAAAACAAAACATCGTTTTTGCCTATACATGCCTTTATAGTTTTTTTTAATAACTTAGTCCTGGCGTCCTCTACAACCAATGTAATGACATAAAAAAATAAAAATCACAAGACTTTTTTTTTTCTGGTTCTCAGGAGGATATGATAAGACTAGCTGTCAAACCTGTGACGTGACAGATGAAAGTGTGCTGAGTGAAATGTCACCATTATCTGTAACTTCCTGTAATGCAGCTGCAGACCACTGACATTTTCTGTAATAATCTGTGACTGTATCTCATATTCTTGAGCTCTGATATGTGTGAACATTAATGCGCGGCTAATGGGTCAAATGAGTGTGCAGGAATGATGAGCACTGGGACATTGTGTTTTTATCACATGCATCAGTCTATTCGCATAGACAATGTAATTAAACTATGCATTTTATTCATCATACCAAACACATTTCAGAGCTGATATATCGTAGATGGGAAATTATATTTTATTAACTTATTTATAATAAAATATATTACTTATATTAATTTAGTATATACTAGATATTTACAAGCAAGATAAAATAAAAAATGAGTAACATCTGATTAAACTTTATTATTATTAATGATATTGTTGGTAGATTTTTATTCTATTTGTACTTGAACAATATTGTTCTTTCTTATAGATTTTTGTTGCATAAGTCTATTTAGTTTTATTTAAATAATTTGTGCGAGTATCTGTACATCAAAAGTAATTACTGACCGTTTTTTTTTTTTTTTACTTTAATTAAAAAATGAATTGTAGTAGCTAGGGATGCACGATATATCGGCCACCATATCGGTATTGGCCGATAAATGCTCATTTTTTTCTGTTATCGGTATCGGCCCGATAAGAACATTTGGCCGATATCTTAGTTCCCACTAACCCTCCCACCCACCCACCGGAGAAAGAGAGAGAGGTCTGAAGAGAGGAACAGCACTCGTCTTCTCATCGTCCCTCATTCCCGTTGTCATCCTCCAGCCAGTGGATGAACAGCTGTACGCCGACTTCACTGCCAGATGGATTCATGCGCTCCTCACGTCTCCAATCATACATGTTTTTTTCCTCTACCTCTTTTCTTTCTCAGCTCCATTCCACCTTTATCACGCCACCTTTCCTTCTCTCTCTCTCTCTCTCTTCCTTCCATCCCATCATCCCTTTCCTGTTCCACCGGACTCAGCCACACGTTACCGGATCGCTCGTTGTCTGGACGTGAACCGGAGCCCCTTTGAGCTCCAAGTGTGTTTCCATTTGTACCGTTTGGCACCATTATGGATTTACAGACTGAGATTTGTTTATTATTTACTGCTCTAAATGAACTGGATGAGGAACGTAGATTCTGCCACAGCTTGGGATGTCGATGACCCTATAAGGGACCAGCACACAGTAGAGGACAGCGTCGTTTTCCCCCTTCCTTCCTTCCCTCCTTCTCTCTTCCTCTTTCCCTTTCTGATAAAACCCATCCCGCATCCATCCTTCCCTCCTGCCCGCCTGTTTCCCTTTCTAACAACCCTTCCTTCGCAGAAACGTATTTTATTTAGAAAGATTTTATTCTTGGCATATACAGAAATTATGCATTATAAATTGTGGGGGCGCACAGCTCTATGTATATATGTGTACACATGTATTAGGGGTTATCATGTCGAG